AGTAAGATAAGGAGGATGGAGGAGGAGGATAATATTTTTCATACGGATGAAGCCGCACGGAATCAGCTAGTAACTGTATTAAAATAGATCTATTATCATTTACTATAATTGTTAGTTTTACGTCATATGCAAACATTTTGAAGCTATGTAAATATTTTCGAAGACACACCTCCATAACATAAGTCTCTATCAAATTACTTACACAAACATTGTAAAGGTAAGTTTACACTACATTAAATAATTCAAAAAACATAATTATACCGGAGGCCTAATTTTTGTCCCTTTCATTCCATAATTTCTTTCATAAGGGGAAATGTCCTGTTTATGTGCGTCTCTCCGTCGATTCGTAAGCAACGAATCTGCAATTGCGGAGTGGCTAAGCAGCGGTCGCTTCGCCATTTCGGCGGATTCAGGTGGACGCTTGCTCGTTTTCCACATAGTGTAATTAGGCTACGTAAGCAAAGAAAGCAAAAAAGAACCCAAATTTCGTCACGCGATTTTGAGCTAAACTATTTAAGTGCATCGTAATCTTTGACTCCAAAAATCAACCAAAAATATGGGACACACCTGCAAGCATTACCTTTCGGATAAAAAAAGAATCATCAAAATCGGTCCACTAGTGGCGGAGTTATGCCGTAACACACATAAACATACAGACGAATTGAGTACCTCCTTCTTTTGGTAAGTCGGCCAAAAATAGAATGGGCATAGTTGACACTTCACTACAAACATTGTTCACATCTAACGCAACCTGACTACCTGGTGTCAGATAAAATAACAAACAAACAATTGAATCAAACATTGAGAAGCGTCTTGGCGTATCAGTCATTAAGATATTACCTTAAAAAGAAGTTACCGGTGAAAAAACGCTTTTCACTTTGTCTACTATATATTTAATAACTGTTGCTAGCGACTTCGCCTGCGTGAAATAAAAAAAAACCGCCTATGTTACTGCCTGATAGATTAGATTTTTAATGGTAAAAGAATTTTTTAAATCGGCCCAGTAGTTTTTGAGTTATTTCAATACATCCAAAAATACAAATGTTTCCTCTTCATAATATTAGTATTTCATGAATGTTGTAACACTACCTACAGATAAATATTAGTGTCTCTTTTCTTTCAAGAAGAAAGAAAGAGATGGCGATAAAAACATTCATTATCCCACGAGTATGTTGATACAATCTTAGTATCACACAAATATTTATCAAAGAATGACGTAAAGTTGAAAATTAAATTTAAAAACTTGTTAATTTAAATGTTCAGATAGTTCAATGACCTTATTTTTAAAATAATAACATTTTTGTATGTGAAATAACCCACAAACTACAAGGCCAAATTAAAAAATTCATTCACCATTAAAAAGCTATGTTATCGCTGAGTGACAGGCTATATTTTTTTACAATCACGAGCAACAGCTAGTAACTAATATAAATGCGATAATTAATATGGATGTTTTTGGATTTTCATAGATGTAGAGGATAGTCTGGAAGAACACATAGGCTTTTACCCCGAAGTCACCCGTGGGTTACATTAATTTTATTTTTTACTAGCTTTCGCCCACGACTCCGTTCACGCGAGATAAAAAAAAACAAAACTGACAAGCCTATGTGTTCTCCCAGATTATCCTCTACATCTATGCCAAATTCAATCGAAATCCGTACAGCCGTTTAGGCTACAAACTCTAACAAACATCCATCCATCTAAACTTTCACATTTATAATATTAGTAAGATATTCACTCGATGATTTCAACGGTTCATCCTTTCAATAAGAAAGGTACAGATATAAAACAAAGTCAAGAGTAACACATGGGTTACTACATCGCTGAAAAATGCATTCCCGTGGGTTACGTAGTTTTCTTGGTTCTCGTATTGTTTTTGACGTCATCAACATCATAACCACAAATGGAAACTACTAAAAAACAAATGAACTTGCGTTTACTAGACAAATATGAGGTAAATAATAAGATATTTACAACTGAGGATGTTTTCAATGTTATTGGGATTTTGTACTTGCGTTAAATAATATTCAGATGACGTATTGCAGTTTGTTACGTAATAACTTTTAATTATTACTTAGTTATAAGAAAAAAAAAACCTTCCTGACTGATCTATGACGTTCATAGCTACGATCATCACCTGGCGATCCCTTGCTTTTTGTATGTGTTCTTGTGTATGAGGTTTTATATGGATGTCAATACCATTTATCCACCTGAGGGAACTCCTTCAGGTGGATACCAGGACTAGAAGGGAGGATGCTATACTAAGCAGTTAATATTTATTATTTACTAGCTGTTGCTCGCGATTTCTCCCGCGTTAACTTAAAAATATAGCCTATGTTAATCACAGATAAATTACCTTTATAACGGTAAAATAATTTTTGAAATCGGCCCAGTAGTTTTTGAGTTATTTCAATACATACAAAAATACAGATCTTTCCTCTTTATAATATTAGTATAATAATATAATAAAGCGTGAACACTGCTTCTTGGCGTAGGATGTCAGCAATCACAGTATATTTTTGAATAATCCTTTTTATACTATTATAATATCGCGTAAACACACACTTCTTTGTTGCCTAAGATGTCAGCAATCACAACATATTTTTGAATAATCCTTTTTTAAATAAAAAGTCCTACACTTACATCATGCTTTAGGCTATATATTTTCACGCCATTAAAGTTGGGGTAAAAATTTTGGATAAATATTCTAATGTGGGAAAGAAAGCAATCAAGAAAGCAATATTGCTAAGGTTTGTCATGTCATGTCATGTAGACATTTGCTATTGATAATTTGACAAATGTAAACAATATAATAAACTTTTCATAACATCCAGATGAAGCCGCACGGGAACAGCTACTTCTTAATAATCTAATACATTACGTTTCTATCACGCCGTCAGGTCAAGGGGTCGGCAGTGTTAACCTCAGAATAATAATCAGTTCCACCTATCTAACTACGTAACAACGGAAGAATTTATTTAAAACTCGCTGTTGCTTGCGACTACGTCTGAATGGAATTAAAAATAATAAAAAATATAGCCTTATTCAGCGACAACGTAGCTAATTAATGGTGAAAGATTTTTTGAAATCAGCCGAGTTATTTTGAGTTATTCCCATACATACAAAATATACAAATCTTTCCTATTTTTAACATTAATATAGATTTACGTAGAACACAATACAATATTGGTAAACGGTAATTTTTTTCCTAATGTCATAAAGAGAACAGATTTGTATTTTTGTATGTATTGAAATAACTCAAAAACTACTGGGCCGATTTCAAAAATTCTTTCACCATTAAAAAGCTACGTTATCAGTCAGTAATATAAGGTGTGTTTTTTTATTAATTCTAACTAGCTTTCGCCCGCGACTCCGTCCGCGTGGAATTAAAAAAAAAACAAAAGTGAGTAGCCTATATGTTTTTCCAGACTATCCTCTACATCTATACCATAATTCATCGAAATCCGTTCAGCCGTTTAGGCTACAAACTCTAACAAACATCCATCCATCCATCTAAACTTTCACATTTATAATATTAGTATGATTTCACGCAAAGTCGCGAGTAACAACTAGTTCTTTATGTACAGGATAGGAAAAGGTTCTTACAAAATGTAGGATACATCCAATATTTGCTATCCTGCTTATTCTCCAGGGGTGGGAAGGGGAAAGACCTGGAAGGAGAGGATTATTCAAAGGACATAACGATTGCCATTATTTATTGAAAGCATTATTTATTTATCTCCACTAATATAGTAAAGCGAAAAAAAACACTCACTTTGTGACGTAAGATGTCAGCAACTACAGCATATTTTTGAATTGTTATTTTTGTAATAAAAAACCCCGGAATTTACGTCACGCTTTAGGCTATATATTTTCACGCCATTAAACTTAGGGAGTAAATATTTTGGACAAAAACCCTAATGTGGGAAAGAGATCATAAGTTGCTGCCAACATCAAGAAAGATTGCTATGGTTTGTCATGTCATGTCATTTTGACATTTGCTATTGATAATTTAACAAATGTAAAGAATATAATAAAATTTTCATAATTTCATGCGGATGAAGCCGCACGGGAACAGCTAGTAGTGAAAGAATTTATCTTAGCTATTGAAATGTTATCTTTTAATCCAAACCCCTACATATACTATTATCAGTGAAATAGATAACGTGATATCTGAGTAACATAATTGGAATGTATATTACTACCTAACTGCATATCTGTACCAGTATCATACTCTATGACACATAGACTAAAGTACATAATATATGTAATTTTTGGAGAAAAAGTAAGACTGCATAATATTTGCCAAATATAACAAGCTGATTTTTTAAACTTGAATAATCTATACTTAATATTATAAAGAGGAAAGATTTGTATTATTGTATATATTGAAATAACTCAAAAACTACTGGGCCAATTTTAAAAATTCTTTCCCCATTAGATAGGTAATTTATCTGTGAGTAACATAGGCGATGTTTTTTCTTATTTTTAAATTTCACGCGGGCGAAGTCACGAGCAACAGCTAGTCATATATAAATATATAAGTTATACAGTCAAAATAGTTTAAGACCAGCTTTTGCTCGCTACTTCATGTAATGTAACAATATAGCCTATGTTACTTAACGATAATATAGCTTTATAATAGTGAAAGAATTTTTGAAATCGCCCCAGTAATTTTTGAGTTATTTCAATACATACAAAAATACAAATGTTTCCTCTATATCATATTAGTATAGATGTACAAGTATAAACACAAAGGTAAATGGCATATCTATTTACTTACAGTTACAATTTATAGATTATAAATATCTAGCTTGCGCCCGCGACTCCGTTCGCGTGGAATTAAAAAAAAAACTAAGTAGCCTATGTGTTCTTCCAGACCATACTCTACACATACGCAAAATTTCAATATCTATTCAGCTGTTTAGGCTACAAACTCTAACAAACATCCATCCATCTAAACTTTCGCATTTATAATAGTAAGAAGATTGAAAACTCACCTAACACCATCACTGGACGAATCCACAATGCGTCTATTTAGTATTCAGATTTAATGGTCAATACTATAGATATGACCGTCACCTTCTTTCCATACTTTATTCTCCTGAAAAATACAAAAAGATAAGTATTCATAGTCTTGTTCTTAAAATATCATTCATTTAAATGTTATGCCACTATTTTTTTTATAACATAAGGTGGCAAACGAGCAAGCGGCCACCAGAATCCGCCAAAATGGCAAAGCGACCGGCCCATACACATCCGCAATTGCAGATGCGTTGCCTACCCTTATTCGACGGAGGAGACTCATATAAAGAGGATATTTCCCCTTCATATGCATCACCTTCACCATCAAATCCAATTCCCCTTCCCATCCTCTCCTTATAAGAAAGGTGTGGTAAAGAGTATGGGACTTAAATAAGGCCTCCAGCACCACACTCATCAGACGAAACACGGAATTGCTTCCATTTCACGCCTGTTTTCTGTGTGGTCGTGGTATTTCTGGGGGCGAGCCCTGCAGTGCTAAGATGTTAAAGCGGGCACTACCACTGTTAGTGTTTTTTTTTTAAACGGGCGCTTTTTAACGGTGAAAGAATTTTTCAAATTATCCCAGTAGTTTTTGAGTTATTTCGTTACAATCGAAGAAACAAAGTTTTCCTCTTCATAATATAGTATGAAATGCGAAATTTTACATGGATTTTGTTTAGAGTTTGTAGTCTAAACTACTAAACTGATCTCGATGAATACTAATAATGAAGGTATAGATGTATAGAATATAAGGGCAAGTTGATGATTTATTTATTTATTGGAAAGGTACACCAATTGCATGTTCAAGGTTCACAACCAAATTAATATACCGTATACAATGAAAAACAAAGAAGCAGAAGAACATACAGATGACAGGCGTACACAGCGCTCACAAAAAAATGATGTTTTACTTTTTAATAACAAACGTTGAATCACGTTAATTACAACTAATATAAGTTAGGGTACACATATTAAACAAAAATACAAAAGTGTTACTGGTGATAATATAAGCCCAGATCTTTTTTGTTTATTAAGTTCAAAAATCGGGACATGGAATCATGGAAAATGTCAAT